CAGGTCGTGCAGGTCCCTGTGGGCTGCGGGGAGGACTTGGGTTTTTACCTCCAGGGAGGCCGGACCCTGGAGGGCTGTGGGCAGAGGAGGGGCGGGGCCTGACTCGGTGCTCACAGGCGCACTCTGGTGGCCACTGTCGAGAGGACAGACTGGGGGCTGTAGGCAGAAGCTGGGGGAGCAGTGACTCCAAACCCAGAGGCCCTGAAAAAAAAAAATGTTTTAAATAAACATTTTATTTTGAGGACTTCCCTGGCGGTCCAGTGGTTAGGACTCTGAGCTTCCACTGCAGGGGGCCCAGGTTCACTTCGTGGTCGGGGAACTTAGGTCCCACAAGCCACACAGCGTGGACAAAAAACAAAAGAAACATTTTATTTTGGACTAGTTTTAAATTGACAGAAAAGTGGTAGATATAATTCAGAGAGTCCGCCTATGTTTCTCACACAGTTTCTCTCAACATTAACGTCTTACGTGACCACCACGGTATATTTGCCAAAACTAAGAAGCCACACCCTCGCTATTAACTAAACATCCTCACTATTAACTAAACTCCACGCTGTATTCAGGTTTTACGAGTGTGAAATCTGCACCAGGAGCCCATCCAGTATCCCACAGTGTGTTCACGTCTGTGTGATCATGTCTTCTCGGGCTCCGCTCCCCCCGTTCCCTGACCTTTTCCGTCTGGAGGAGACGGGTCAGGGATTTTCTACGATGCCCCTCATTTGGGGTTTGTCTGATGCTTTCCTCATGCCTGGACTGGAGTTATGGGTTCAGCCAGAGGGCGCAGGAGGAAGGGCAGTTTCTGGGTGGGGTGGGCTTGCTGATGAGCACAGCACTGAGGACTGGCCCAGCGGTAGGCACCATGCGTGTCCCGGGGCACCTTATGGCGAGTACTTTGATGTTGGAGGGAGGGGAAAGCGAGGAGGGGTGAAGACTCTTCTGGGGGCAGCTGGAGAGGGCTCACAGAGGGTGTTCCCCCCCCATCCCCTAGGTAGGAGGAAGCCCTAGAAGGAAGCTCCACGGCAGGGGGCAGAGCAGTGCCTGGTGAGAATCCCAGCCCCTCTGCTTCCTGCCTCAGTTTCCTCATCTGTATAATGGGACCTAGTTCTGACTCTGAGCGCTACGATCGCGAAGGTTCACAAATTAAAGCAGCTGGCACGTAGCAGGTGCACAGAAAGGTTTGCCTGGATGCCTTGAAGTTCCTCCACTCAGGCCAGAAGGAGGGAGACAAGCCCCCACTGGGAAAAAATGAAAGGGAGTTATGGTGTTCTTCAGAGCTGGATGGGGACCGCCTGCAAAATTGTCTATTTCGAGCTTCCACCGTTGTGTGCAATGGCTGGGGGAAGAACCCAGGCCCCTGACACCTTCCTCACCATCCCTGGTTTCAGTCTGGCCTCTGCACCTGTACCCACACCAGCTCCCCCACCACACCCCATGAAAGGTCCCCTGAGACCCCACCCTTATTTGCCTTGAGGCTGGGCCTGCCACAGCGGGAATCTGTCCTGCTAAAGCACACAGCACTGGCCTTTCTATTCTGTCCAGAATCTTAGGTGGTTCCCCGTGAGCTATTAATTCATTTATGGAGTGCCTGCTGCATACCAGGCACTGTTCTGGGAGCCTGGGTCACTGGAGAGGTAGAGCTCACAGACCAGCATGGAAAGCAGACATTCAACAAATAAGTCGGGACTTTCCTGGCGGTCCAGTGGTTAAGACTCCGCGCTTCCACGGCAGGGGGCGTGGGTTCCATTCCTGGTCAGGGAACTAAGATCCCAAAACCAAAAAGTGAACAAACAGTCTCAACAATGAGCGCGTAGTTAACAAGCTGTGGTTTTAGCTCAAGAATACTCCATAGCTCCCTAGCATTCGGTCAAGGATCTTTATTGAGCATCTGATCAATGCCAGGCTCTGGGTATCCTCTTTAGTTATCCGTGCTTCTTATGGTCTTCGAACTATTTTACAACTCTGTAAATGATAAGAAACTGGTGGTATCTCAAAGGATTCTTGTCCATAGAAATACAAACGAATTTTGTCCCGTGGCGACCACTGATTATTTCCCTGTGGCTATTGACCACCTTTACAACTATTTGTAAATTCATTTCAGCATTGATTGCCTGTGTGTGTGTTCTTTCTTAATATTCTCTCCTTTTTAAAAATATTTATTTATTTATTTTTCGCTGCATTGGGTCCTCATTGCTGAGCGTGGGCTTTCTCTAGTTGCAGCGAGCGGGGGCTACTCTTTGTTGCGGTGTGAGGGCTTCTCATTGCGGTGGCTTCTCTTGCTGCGGAGCACGGGCTCTAGGCGTGCGTGCTTCAGTAGTTGTGGCACTTGGGCTCAGTAGTTGTGGCGCACGGGCTTAGTTGCTCCGCGGCATTTGGGATCTTCTCGGGCCAGGGACCAGAGCTCGAACCTGTGTCCCCTGCATTGGCAAGCGGATTCTTAACTGCTGCGCCACCAGGGAAGTCCCAATATTCTCTCCTTTAAACAATCTGTAAAATCTTGCTGGTTCTCATATTAATTAATGAGTTAAGTAAACTCATAAAGCACCTGTTTGTTTTATATTGGTATAGAGTCATGCTTTACATTTTTGAAAAAAAAAAAAGATCCCTTAACTCCATTACACCTAAAGCCTTCACTCTAGCATCCAAGGCTCCTCCCTGAGGAGATTCCCAACTACTCCATCTTACCTGTTACCATCTTCAAGTCCCAGAGCATTCTTTCCACTTTTCTTCCTAATCAACCTGAACTCTGTCTTTCGTAGTCAGCAAAAGCTGTTGGTTCTCCCCAAATCTGTCCAGAATCCGCCCACTTCTCCTCACTTCTGAGCCCCCACCTGGTCCACCGCATCCTCTCCCACCTGGACCAGCTCAGTCCCCTCCATCCAGGTCCCTGGTTACGCCCTCATCGCCCACAGTCTGTCCTCCCCGAAGCAGCCACCAGAGGGCGCCTGTGAGCACCTGAGTCAGGCCCCTCTGCCCACAGCCCTCCAGACTGCACGATCTGCCTCGTCCCCTCCCTGCCCTCGCCTCCTCCCTCTCTCCCCCGCACTCACTCTGCTCCAGACACACAGGCCTCTTAGCGGTTCCTCCAGCTCGCCAGGCATGGTACTGCCCCAGGGCCTTTGCACGGGCTGTGTGCTCTGCCTGCAATGCCCCTCCCCCAACTACTCACGTCTTTCAAGTCTTTGTTCAGATGTCGCCTTCTCAATGAATTCTCCCCTAATCTTTCTACTTAAGACTGTAAAACACCCCCCTGCCTGTTTTACTCCTATCCCTGTACGTCTTTCACTTTTTTTTTTCCTGTAAGGCTGACCATCCTCTAACCCAGGATACAATTTAGGATACAATTTACTTCCTTATTGTGTCTCTTGTTTCTTGCCTGCCTTCCTCCACCAAACCACAAGCCCCACAAGAGCAGGGATCTTTGTTTCTCTTGATCACCCCTGAATCCTCAAGCCCCAGAACAGCACTCAGCACACAGTAGGTGCTTCATAAATGCAGGTTCATTCCCTGGGCACCCCCGCCCCCCCCAGTCATGTTGCCCACTAACCTCAGCCCATTCCAAAGGGTGTCAGGCTCCACCCTGAGCAAACACAGCTCCCCTGGCGCCAGGCCAGACCTGAGGTGGAAGAACAGGAACCCAGAGTCCCGAGGTGGACTTTCCCCAGAACTGGGGCCACACAGAAGCCCTGAGCCGGGGAGGCAGGACTCTTACAGGTGCTGAAACTGGGGTATTGGCTGGGGGCATACGCAGCCCCCAGACCTCCCCACTCTCTGCAATTTGACTCCTATCAGGCTGACAGCCCTACTTTACTCTGCAGCCCAGGGCAAGTGGCTACCCCTCTCTGAGCCGGGGTTCAACCTCCGCAAAACAGGAAGGCGATGGGACATTGCCACTGGCTTGGCATTCTGAGTTCTGATTTGGGGTGGGACAGTTTACCTTGACCCCTGCATGACTGGGAATCTATTACTTGCTCTATCATATGCTGTTCTCAGCAGCCCTGCGACGTGGTGACTCATTATACCCAGTTTACAGAGTGGAAAACTGAAGCCAGCTCTATTTGACTCCATGGGTCTTTCTCTCCAAACCCAGGCAGGGTGGGATCTGACAGTCGAGATGTCCCCCCTCCCAACCCCACAGAACCCAGATCTTGAGCAGCTCTGCTTCCCGGGAGTGACCCCAAATGCCAGGCCGGCTCTATACCCTGCAACTGGGACGCTCATGCCTCCGGAGCCCCAGAGGGCCCTCTTGGGCTCAGACAAAGAGCCTTGAGGCCTTGAGGTGCAATCAGACACTTGGCTGGCTGGGAAGTTCTCTTTGTCCTGCACTTTTTGGGAGCAAATGACCCAGAAAAAGCTCTTGCCACTGGATCCCTGTCTTCTCCTGGGTCTAAGCTTCCTTTGCCCGGAGACCATCCTGGCTCCTTGCCCGCAGTCAGCTCTGCAGACTGTTGTGACAACCATCCGTCTGCCCCTTCCTGCGCTTCTCCGCTGGGAGGTTTCACCCAGAGAAGAAATCAAGATAAGCAAGATAAACCTCCCCAGAACCCCCCGTTCCTCCTGCTCCAGCACCTGGAGAGGGGACGGAGATGAGATGCAATTGTCTGAAAACTTGGGGGCCTCTTAAGAAGTACCAGGAGGCCCAGATACCAAGCAGGTGCCAGGCTGCCTCACCTGCCATCTCCCCGCCAGCCTCCCCTCCTCAGTTTGGGGGGTCAGAGGCCAGTCTGCGCCCCCTCAGCCCCCCTGCAACAGCCGGGGCCAACAATGACCCTCTGAAGTCTGTGGCTATGGCATCCTGGGCAGGCTGCCAGGGGCAGTAACTGCCGGCCAGATAATCCCTTAGAAACTATGTCAAATGCCCACACAGCAGTGTCAGTTTCCTGCTTTCCGGGGAGCCTGGTGGTGGTGGCGGGGAGGTGACAGGGGGCCCAGGACCCCACAGTGGGGAACCCAGTCTGGACAGTTGCTTCGGGATGGTGGGCAGATCGGGGTGGGGGACTCACCTGTCTAGGAGGCTGGGTGGCCTCTGGGCAGGCGACAGGAGCTAGGGCCTGGGCTTCCGCCTGGCATCAGGGGCGGGGAGGGGACCCGAGGCTTGAGCTCTAGTCTTCCCACCTGTTTGCCCAACTTTGCCTCCCTGTGGTGGCCACAGGCTAGCCGGTCCTGTGCCAGGTGGAACCAGCAGGGCGACAGGCGCAGGCAAACCAGCGAGAGTGAGAGAGACCTGGTTGGGTGTGTGGCTCTGTTGCAAGGTGCTCTCACGTGGGAGCAGCTGACCTTAACCCCTGCCGGCCCAGAGGCCAGGGACGCCCAGTCCCGCCCAGCTTGCACTGGCCACCGCTGAGCCCTTGGCATCAGCAAGGGACTGGCTCATGTGGCAGGTCCTTGGGAGACATTTGTGGAAAAATTCAAGGATGAATGAATGAATGGCGCATTCCTGCCCCCCCATCCCCTCACTGCTCCCCTTGCCTTCCAGCTGGCACAGCATCCCACCGCTTGTGGCAGGGCTGCTCCTTCCATCCCCACAGATCTGAGCTCAAATTCTGCTTCTGTGCCACCAAGTGACCGGCCGGATTCCTACACTGAGAATTTTCTATCACTTCCCAGCTGGGCAGCTTTGGGCAAGTCACCGGCCCCCCAGTTTCCTTACCTAAAAAAAATGGGAACAACGGGGACGTCCCTGGCGGTCCGGTGGTTAAGACTCCTCGCTTCCAGTATTGGGGTCACAGGTTCGATCCCTGGTTGGGGAACTAAGATTCCACATGCTGTGCGGCGTGGCCCAAAAAATATATGAAAATAATAATAATAATAAAATGAAAACTAAAATAAAATTTAAAAACGGGAACAACACTGGCGTCTGCTCCTAGGGTTGTTTCCTACAGTAAAGTGAATGAATGTCTGTCCAGAAAGTGCTGAGAACTCTGCTGGGCACACAGTAGAGTTGCACCTTCCAGCTGCGACCCACAGGTGGCTGGTCTGAATGAATGACATGCAGGTAAAATACACATCGGATTTGGAAGAGCAGCTGTGCAGAAAAGCATGTAAAATAGCTCATTGGTTTTACCTATCGATTCCCTGTAGAAATGATAATAGTTTTGAATGTATTGCGTTCAATGAAATATAGTGTTACAAGTTATCTCGCCTGCTTTTGGTTTTTTAATTTTTTCAAATGTGGTTGCTAGAAAATTTTAAATGACATTTAAAAAGTTAAACTGAAATGGGCTTGCCTTGTAGTTCTAGCAGAAAACACTGGAATAGGAGCTTAATACGTATTAGCTGTGGAGCCCTTTGCAGTCACATTCTGTTGCCATTGTATCACATCTGTATTAGTTTCAAAGTATTTGTTAGCAGCTGAAACGCCTTGTGTCTTGTTTGCTTGTTTGTCTTCTAGATGTCTCTCTCTCTCTCTCTTTTTTTGGCCACGCCATGCAGCTTGTGGGATTTTATTTTATTTTATTTATTTATTTATTTTGCGGTACGCGGGCCTTTCACTGTTGTGGCCTCTCCCGTTGCGGAGCGCAGGCTCCGGACGCGCAGGCTCAGCGGCCATGGCTCACGGGCCCAGCCGCTCTGCGGCATGTGGGATCTTCCCAGACTGGGGCACGAACCCGCGTCCCCTGCATCGGCAGGCGGACTCTCAACCACTGCGCCACCAGGGAAGCCCAGCTTGTGGGATTTTAGTTCCCAACCAGGGATCGGGCCCTCGGCAGTGAGAACGTGGAGTCCTAACCACGGGATCACCAGGGAATTCCCTAGATGTCTCTTCACTGAGGTCGGGGATTTGGTCCTGCTTATTCGTGTATCCTCCTGGCCTAGAACAGTGTCTGGTATACAGTAGGTGCCCAATAAATATTTGTGGAATGAATTAATGGAATATGGGGAGGGGGTGGAAGACTCATAAAGTCCCTCTTACCTGCAGGACCCAGTGCTGACAGCAATAGCCACGAGGGGGCGCCCGAAACCAGGCAACCAGCCCCAGCTGGGCAGCCTCAGTTTTCCATCCTGCAAAATGGGAATATCGAGCAGGCACTTGGGGGGATGAAGCAAGAGGCGCAAAAGCCGCTGCCCCACGGGATCCCGGCCCCTCCTCTCCATTCCCAGTTGTCTGAGCCAGTGGTTCTCAAACTCTATCAGGCATCCGAATTGCCTTGGGAGGCTCATTGAAAGACAGACTGTGGGTCCCCGCCCCCAGAGTTTCTGATGCAGGAGGGCTGGGCTGGGGCCCGAGAACCTACATTTCTAACAAGCTCCTGGTTGATGCTGATGGGGGCAAGTCCAGGCACCTCGCTTTGAGGATCACTGATGTAGATCTTCTCTGGAGACAGATTCAAAATGAATCAGGAGTTCTATCCATGGCGCGTGTCCAGAGAACTTCTGGAGCCTTTTTAAAAACCGGTGGCAAAATACACATAACATAAAATTTACCGTCTTAACCGTATTTAAGTGCACAGCTCAGTGGCATTAAGCACATTCTCATTGTCGTGCATCTATCCTCTCCACCCATCTCCAGAACTTTCTCATCTTCCCAAACTGAAGCTCCGTCCCCAGGAAACACTGACTCCCCAGCCCCTCCCCCACCCCGTGGTCCCCACCATCTACTTCCTGTCTCTATGGATTTGAGTCCTCTAGGGACCTCATGTGAGTGGGATCAGACAGTACTTGTCCTTCTGTGTCTGGATTCTCTCACTGAGCATCACGTCCTCCAGGTTCACGTACGTTGCAGCGTGTGTCAGAATTCCCTTCTTTTTAAGGCGGGATCATATCCCATTGTATGAATGGACCACATTGTGTTTATCCATCATCTGTTGATTCCCTGGAGCTGTTTGACTCCTCCTCTCTGGGTAGGCTCAATTCTAACAGGACACAGCTAACCTAGGGGATCCCTCCACCTCATCCTGGGTCCTGTTCTCTGTGTCTTCCTTTTTCTTGATTTGTCTCCTTGTTTTGATGGAGAACATTTCAGGACCATCTTTCTAAGCCCTGGGTCGGACCGAGGCCTGCTCCCTCTTGCTGATTCCCCCTTATCCCATCACCAAGCACCCCTAAGCCCAACCTTGTCAGCCTCCCGCTGACCTCACCAGCACCCTGACAATGAAGAGGGATCACGTGTCTGGAGTCGGACAGGCCTGGGTGAAAACAGCCCAGCTTCACCCACACCAGCAGAGTGTCTGGACTCCCCCACCTGCCTCCCAGCAGAAATCATTAATAATGAATAAAACTACTAATAGCAACATTTATTACTCCCCAAACCATGACCTCAGAATGAATGACTGCCTAACCATATCGTTGGTGAGTTCACCATTAGACTTAAATAATATTATTATTCTTAATACAATAAGTAAAGGGGATGCTTCACAACACGGTTCTTTGTGTGATTCCAAATATGTGGCTTCAGCTCTCTGGGCTCCCGTTTTGTCATGTGTAAAATGGGGATGATAATAGTTCTCATCTGGTTGATCAAATTGTCTTCTAGGTGTAATGTTCTGTGTTAGGTATTGGGAATATGGTAGTAGTTAAAAAAAAAGGAAACAAAAAGCAGGTCCCTAACTTATGGAGATATTGCATCTAAAGGCTTTAGCACTAAGCTTGGCATTTAAGGATGTTATTGTTACATATAACTAAATTTTACTACGTTATATATCATAAATAATATTTTTACGTTACATATTAACATTACTTATTATAATACCATATTACTGTTTGTTTAATAGTCACGTTAATGTATCATGACAATATGACATACAATTTGTATATTGTGCATAATGATAAAAATTTGTTTCTTATTATTACGTAACTATTACTTATATCAAACATAAGCACATGTAATATAAATTTTATTTTTAATATAGTGATGATTTTTAACTGTAATTATTATTTATGCTCGTTATGTATAATAACGCTTTTACGTACTACAGTAATATTGACAGGAATGGCGCTGCCCTTCCACCCCTGGGCACGTGAGGGCGCTCGCGCCGCTCCTGGGGCCCGGGACGCACGCAGGCCCCGCCTCCGAGCCCCGATTGGCGGTGCGCGCGGTGCGCGATGGCGCAGCGTCTGGCCCCGCCCCTGGCCCGCCCCTCACTCCCTGAGCCCGGCCCCTTCCCTCAGCTCTCCAGCCGGTGGCGGTTGTTGTTCAGCGGCGGCTGCGGCCGCATCTCGGGTCGCAGCCTCCGGCCGGCCGGCCGGCCGCCCGCCCGCCGGCAGGTCCGCGCGCGGCCATGGAGCTGGAGGTGCCGGACGAGGCGGAGAGCGCCGAGGCGGGGGCCGTGACCTCAGAGGCGGCCTGGGCGGCAGAGAGCAGTGCGGCAGCAGGTAACGGTTCCGGACCTTCCTCCTTCTCTCCCCGCTCCCCGAATGGACCCGCCCTGCCCCCCCCCGCCGGGGCCCAGTGGACCCGTCCGAGCGCCGGAGGGGCGTCGGGACCCGCAGCGGGGAGGCCGGGACGTTCCACTCGGGGGCGCTCGCGGGGGGGGACGGAACGCCCCACTCCGGGGCTGGGGGACGCGCCGCGGGGCCCGAGACGCCCCGCTCTGGGGGTCGGGGTGGCGCCGCCCATTCCCGGGGTTCTTGGGGGAGCCGGCTGTCTGGGAGCGGGGGTTGGCGCAGGGCCCCATTCTGGGAGGCTGTGGGTGGAGCAGACCCCGTTGGAGACATGCGGGGAAGATGGGTCCTCACCTCTGGGAGGGGTGCGACCTCTATTTAGGACGCGTGGTGGGTGGGTGCACTGCCTCCTGCTGAGGGCGCTTGGGAACGACGTCCCACCCAGTGTTGTCAGGGGGCTGCTCTGCATGTGGGATAGTGGAGTACCCCCGTTCCGATGGGGGACCTTGCCTCCAAGGGGTGACGCTGTCCCACATGTTTCCCCCCGCCCCGACCGTCTGGACCCACTACTCGGGGCCGCCCACTTTGCTGGTATCAGCTTCCGGGCCTCACCCGTTTCCCTGCAAGTCGTCACCCTGTGGGCACATCTTACTGGTCGTTAAGGGCAGGGGCTGCTGTGGCGGAAGTGGGGGGTCTCGGAGGCCAGATGGGTCAGCCTCCTGACTACCTCATTTTTGTGGAATTCACCAGACCTGGTTTCTAGTCCACTGGCCATTCCTTCCCTTTCTGGGTCTCAGTTTACCTCCTATAACCGGAGGTAGGTAGGGGGATGACATCTCCAGGCACCTTCAGTGCCAGGGCTTGCCAGCAGGTGGGGGAGGAGAAGGCCCCCTG